GGGGAGGGAGGGGGGGAGGGGGCGGGGCCCGGCGCGGGCTAGCGAGCGCGCGCCGACCCCGCCCCCTCCCGTGCCCCTCTCCCCCCGCGCGGGGGCCGTCACGGGGCCGGGGCCTGGGGCATCGCGCACCGCCCCCGCCCGCGCTGACAGGCGCGCGCACGCGCACGCGCACTGACGGCCGGCCCCCCTCCTCCGCCCGAAGCCGCCGTCGCTGCCGCCGCCTCTTTCCTCTGGTGGCCTCGGACCGCGGCTAACGGCTCCCTCAGCCCTCGGGGAGGGCGCGGCGTCGGCCGCCGCTACAGCTGCTGCTGCCTCGCCCTCCTGCCTGCCGGTCGGCCCTGCCCTTCGTCGGGCTGGCTCGCGACGTCCGCGCGAACAAGAAAGCGAGCGAGCAAGAGCAGTCGCTGCCGCCTTCTCCCCGCCCCGCCACTACTACTCACTCACTCACTCCCCCCCTCAACCCCCCCCCTGCGGCCCCCGCCCGCCCCGAGGGGCCTTCCGCGCAGGCCCGGCCCCCGAGCGGTGCGCCCATTGGCCGCCGCCGCCGCGCGCGGGTCAGGTCCCACCGCACCCACCCCCATTGGGTGGGGGGGAGGAACGTCAGTCACATGCAAATGAGGGCAGGGCGGGCGGACGGCGGTTGGTCCAAGCGGGGCCGTGCGGGGCGGGACCGGAGGGGGTTGGGAGGGCGCACTGCACCAAAGGCAGGGAGCCAGGCGGGGCGGGGCCAGGCGGGGCGGGGCCGGGCGGCCCCCAGGGCGCGCGGCGGCCTGCCTGGCTGCGGCGGCGGCGGGGCCAGTTGGTCCCAGAGAGCCCCCACCTTCCGCCCTCCCCCGCCCCGATCGTGCGTACGCACGCACGCAAACAAACACACACGCACATGGGCGCCCAGCCGGGGACCACGCACGCACGAGCAGCGTGGAACGGAGCGGGCAGGCTGGGGGAGGGGCTGGGGGCCCGAACTGTCAGGACCCTACAAGAGCAGCTCTGGCCCCTGGACACGGCCCTTCCCCAAGCCCTGAGCGTCGTTTCCTCCCGTTTGGAATGGTAAAGTTGGACCAGAATCAGTGGGTGTACCTCTTGGGCATGCAGGCAGCCTGGGCAAATCCAAGGACCCATCGGAATCATGGTTTAAATGCATAAAACAAAACTGGATTGGAAAGCCAATCGAACATTAGTGAAAATAAGGTTGTCTTTTTTCCCATCTGAATTCACATATGCTCCGAAATCTGTCCACGAATCTTTTTTGGGGGGGGGCGGAAGGAGTCCATGGACCTCAAGTTAAGAACCCCTGAACTGGATCATAACCGACATCCTTTCCAGCTGTGAAATTCTGTGGTTCTTAATTTGAGCACTTCGGCACCCCGGGGCTACCTGCTCCAATTCACTTGTTTACAAAGGGAGAAACAAGGCCCCATGTGGGGAAGGGTCTTTGTCCAGGGTTACCAGATGTCACAGAACATCAGAACTAGGGCCCGGCACCAGAAATCACCTCGTTTAACCCACTCGTTTTGCTGAGAAGTAGATTGAGGCCCAGGGAAAAAAGTGGGGGACTTTCTCAATGAAGGTCACACTGCCAAGTTCATGAAATTAGAAGCCCCCCTGACTAGGACCCGCTGCTGCCCCCTCTCTCCCCCCATAGAGTCTCTTCCCGCAAAGACTCTTCTACTCCCCAAATGGGGCAGTCAAATGAGGACACAAGGCAGCAGCCCACACCAAGACACCAGTACACAGCCAAATCAATGGGCAGAAAGGGATGAGGGGTAAAGGGGATGCTGACAGCCAGTACTAGGGACAGCAGAGATGAGCACACTCGGCCAGGGGCTGCACACAGAGGCAGAGACACGGAGAGATCGTGGGGAAGAGGCAAGAGACGTAACCACACAGTCCTGGGGACCCACCGACCTCCTTGGCCCCTCCCCCATGGGGAGGGCATGCAAACCTCCAGAGAGCAGCAGCCGCAAGCAAAGGGGGCACTCTTAGGGGGCCCCGCCTTCCATTTCCCCCTCCTCTCCACAACTCCAGACTCATCAGCTAGCATTACCTCACTGCCCCTGGGACAACTAGCAGCCCCAGAAATCGATGTGTCCGGCTCTCTCTTCCCCGCAGCCCCCTCCCCAGTCGGTGAGTCACCCACCTGGAGCTTAACCTCTTCCTTACTGCCCAGGTTTCCACCATTACTCAGACCCCACGCTGATGCCTTTGTGCCTGACTTTCCCCACCCACCCTCGGCCTTTCCCTGGAGAACAGGAGACAGGACTGGGAGCCAAGGCCTCAGTTTTCTCATCTGTACAATGATGGCGTTTGGGCTGGCCGGCCTCTGTGGGCTGTCCCTGCTCTCAGGCCGAGGCACCAGGGGCCAAGGGCCCCTCATGTCTCCCACTTGGCTCCAAAGGGTTGTTCCTCTGTATAACATCTGGAAATACAGATGGGGGGGCAGGGGGGAGGGTAGGAGGCCTTCCCCAACCTTGGAATCTGGGCGGGAAGGCCCCCCCCCTTCCCCTGGGCACAATGCCAGACCTATACTTAGCAGTCATTGTTCTAAGGGGAAGAGGGGAGGCTTCAGAACCTGAGCTAATCCTCCCCCCTCCTACTCTGCTCTAGGCTATGAGAGCCCAGGCCTGCAGCCCTCCCCCTTTGCTCAGCCAGGGGGCTCCGGAGGCCAGAACAAGGGCCCCGCCAGAACAAGGGCCCCACCGGGAGATGTGCGTGTGTTTATGTGGAAGACACACTATTCACATCAATCACAATGGGACGAGGCCCGGCAGGTCAGACATGGTGTCACCACTGAGAGGGGAAAGGGGAACCCAGGTCTCCTCCCCTGACAGTTTGCCTCCAACGCTATCCCCACCCCACTCCCCAGACAAACACACTGGGCTCTTCAAGATGAGAGATGGAGAGACACCTCCCCAGACACAGGCAGAGACATGCCTGGGGACTCCCAGGCACAGACCCAGACAGACCTAGGCAGTCAGGTCTGCAGGCACCAAGCGCCCACCACCTGCACCTTGCCTGGGACCCCAATTCCAGTGTGAACTTGGGCAAAGACCTTCTTCTCTGGGCTCCCACTTTCCCAGCCATAAAATGAGGGAGGCCTGAGTTCAATGAGCAGGGGGACAGAGGAAAAAGGACTGGCTCTAGGTTCCAATCCTAACTCTGGAACTCCTACTCTATGGGCCTCAATTTCCTGACCTGTAAAAGGTGAGAAGCTGGACTAGATTCTGTGATTCTAGACTTGGAAGACAGTTTCTAGTCCAGGCTCAGCAGTTTCTAAGCTATATGATCTTGGGCAGATCCTTTCCCTCTGGGAGGCTCAATTTCCCTACCTGCATATTAAGATTAACAGCACCTGCCCAACTTTCCTCAGTGGGCTCACACCAATTGGATCAGAAGAGGCCTTAGCAGCTATCTACCTAGTACAAGGAGGCCAGGTCCTCCAAACCCTGTGCCTTTGCTCTGACACACATTCAGAGTAGAGGACTTGGCCCATTTCTGGACCTCAGTTTCTCTCTCCTCTCACATGACGTTGGTGCACATTTCTATGGTGCCCTGTTGGGTTTACAAAGACCTTTCCTCAACCAGTGCGGGAAAGCAGGCCATTTGAGAGATGGGAACACTGAGGCCCTGCTAGGTCACGGGCCTTGCTCAGAGCTGCTTTCTCCAGAGTACCAAGATAGGCTGCCCTGCCCAGACCTCAGTCAAAGGTCCTCTGACTCACAGTCCAGGGCTCCTAGACTCCTAACTTTACCAGACTTCCTTAAGTGAGCTACACGACTTTCTTTTCTTCCTGCCAGATCCCTTCAACGAAGGAGTGCCACTCCGCCCCCAAGCTCCCCTGAAATAAGCTGAGTATCCCCATTTCTGTACACATACTGCATCCCACCTACCCCGTACACAGCGGGCCAAGGTTACCCAGGGAACTGCGGGAGGATTGGTGGAGCTAGGAAAGGATGGGAGGTGGGGGCTAAAAATAGCTTGGGTGGGGGTGAGTCAGTGTAAGTCAGGGAGAAGGGATGGAGGAGGTGGGGGAAGAGAAGCAGAGAGAAGGCAGGAGGGAAAGAGAGGAGCCACGGGCCACAGGGATAAACGAGAGAGGGAAAGACATTGGGGAAAGCAGGGGGAATGAGGGCAAAACAGACAGGCAGAAGGGGAGTGACATGGAGATCCAGGGGAGATGAGGGAGAAGTGAGAAAGGAGGCGGGAGAGATGCCAAGGAAGGGGCGAGATGGACTTCCACAGTGAGGGGAAGCGGGGAGAGATGGAAGAGAAAGTTATGTAATTCCAGAGGAAAAGGGGGAAGAGACAGATGGGGGAGGGAAGAGAGATATGGGGAGAGATAGGGAAGGACACAGAGGGACAGAAGCAGAGGAAAGCAGGATGGGATGGAGAAGCGGCAGAGGTGGGGCTCGAAGGGGAGGAATGGGCCAGGGGATGGGAGTCACTGCCATCCCCTCACTGATCTGGGTCTCCCCCCCCAGGCAGGGACTGCAGCTCACGAGATTTTCCACTCACTGCCTGGCCCAGGGCCACCCCCCCCCCCACCCGCGGCCCCACAAAGCAGCTTTGTGCTGGGAGGCAAGGAGGGAGCTGGCCCCAGCCCGGGGCCCCCCGGCCTGACACCCACGCGGGCCGCGCTGGGGGAGCCGGCCAGCTGGCACCAGGGCTGGTCTGCGGCTAGGCTTCCCCCTTCCCCCTCCAGAGGCCCAGCTCCCTGCCCAGGTCTAGGCTGGGTGGGGTGTGGTGGGGGGAGCCTTTGCCTGAGAGACTCGATCATTCCAGGGTTAATGGGGCGGGCTAGACAGGCCCTGCCCCCCCCCCACTTGCCTGTAGGGGGCACCCCAGGCACTGTTGGGGATGGAGACATCCCTGGGCCGCAACCCCAGCATCCCTATGGGGCCAGGGCTGGCAAAGAGCTCTGAGGCAAGCGTGGGGACCTGGGGCTTGGGCAAGAAGCCCAGAGCTGCAAGGGGCTCCTTCGGCCAGGCAGCCACCACTAGTGGGGTGCTCAGGGGCGGGAGAGGGGCTGGGCCTCCAGCCCACCACGGCCCCCTTCTTGTCAGCCTCACCGTGGCCGGTAGGGGGCAGCGTGAGCCTGAGAGAGCCGAGGAGACCAGAGGAGGCCTGAGGGGGCCCCAGCTACCGTGCTGCTCCCAAGTCACGTTCAGTGCCCTCTGGAGCACAACAGGACGGGGAGGCAGAGAAGAGACACTGGGCTAAACTAGTCCTCCAGAGAAGACAGTCCTCTGGCAGGCCTTGCCCGGGGTCCCACTTGCGGGCCTGCCCATTCCCCTCTCTCTCTGACCCTGGTTCTTCCTCTGGCAGCGTGGGGGTGGGGAATCCACATCTCATATGCTGTCCTAAACTTCCTCCACAGGAGGATTTTGATGCTGATCCTAGAAGTTAAGTATATAGCTCGGAAGTGTGGGGGCCCAAGGGGCAATGCCACCCACCAGTCCGGATCTCCTGGCTGCTGGGGGCGAGGGTCACAGGTGCAGCACCCCAGGGAGGGTCATGGGGAAGGGACAGGCCTAGGATGAGATCTGGCAGCCCCACACCTTCCTGCCGCACTGGGAGAACAGGTGTGGGCTGGAAGAGGGGGCCTGGCTCCAGGAAGCTCAAAGCAGATTTCTGACTGTTGAAAGTGAAAAACTGAGGCCCAGAAAGAGAGAAAGAAAGACACTGAGAAGCCAGAGGCCAAACAGAGGCCTACGGAGGCGAGCGGGAGAGCTCAGCCAGCTGGGCTGGGAGGCAACACAGAGAAAAGAAAGGACCAAGAGACAGGCCTGGAGAGGGACAGCTAGGCAGAGAGAAACAGAAAGCCTGAGAAGATGAAAGGGAGACAGGGCCAGCGCCAGGCAGGGACAGACAGAGGGCCACAGTCAGGGTGGTGGAAAAAGAGCCTGCTGCTCAGAGGCCCCGAGACTGAGAGGCAGAGAAAAGGAGCGAGGGGCAGCTATCCAAGGCTGGCTGGGCAGGGTCTACTTTCCCTGGCAGCACCCACGCAGCTGAGGACCCACCACCTACAGATCCCCTGAGGGGCTGATGGTCCAAGTTTTCTCATCAGGCTTTGCAGGCCTGGCACAGTTAGGGGCTTAATCAATGTTGGCCAAATTGAGGTCTTGCAGCCTCCAGGGCATCGGGCAAGAGAAGACGAAGGATGATGGAGAGATGAACTAGGAAAGGGTAAAGGGAGGAAGACCTAGACCCGCAGAGACTAAGGAGAGATACAACCAAGATTGGGCTAAGCAGCCCCCGGGGGAGCCATCCGGAAGTGAAACACAGGGCCAGACCAGGGCAGAGGGAGACACCCAGAGGGTCTGAGGGCCAGAGAGAGAGCCCGAGGCAAGAAGCCCACCTGGAGAGATGCCAAGGCCTGAACAGATGAAACCGAGAAAGGCCCAGAGACAAAGCCAAGCCAAAGAGATTCCAGGAGAGAACTGGGAAACTGGGAGATCAGGGAAAGAAAGAAGAGGGAGACCTTGTGACGGGTGGCAGCAGGGGAGGCGGGGAGATGCTAGGAGTGAGGTTGGGGCCTGTCGAGCCTTGGACCCCTTCCCTGGGTGCCTGGAGTGGGGGAGGCAGTAGCAGCAGCTGCCTGGGACAGGCAATGCCCAGAATGCCCAGAATGTGGGGGCGCCTGCTGCCTGCCCTGGCCCGTCCCAGAGCGGAAGCAAATGCCTGCTGACTCTGGCTGGGAGGGAGAGGGTCAGGATGCCCTAGCTCTGCCCTCACACCTGCTGGGCCTCTGAGGGTCACAGCACTGGTGGTCTGGGGTGGGGCCTGGCCTGTAGAGACACACACCCTGGGGTGCAAAAGCAATCTCAAAGGCTCAGATGTCACCTGGCCCTCATGCAGCTCTGGGCAAATCATTTAATTCGTCCAAACCAGTTTCTCAGAGCAAACTCCAGGATCTCAGAGTCGGAAGGGATCTAATCTAATCCAACTCGTACTTGAAAAGAAGTCTGCTCCTGCAAACCAGCCTTTGCTTGAAGGCCTCATCTGTGAAATGGGTGCAGAGTCCCTACCTTGCCTCCTCCAGCATGGCATTCAAATGTGAGAAATGGAATTGAGACTGCTGTGCGGCCTTGAGAAAAGCCTTCTCTGCTCTAGAGTGGGGAGGGCACAGCTGACAGAGTGCTGGGCTTGGAGTCGGGGAGACATGAGTTCAAATCCAGCCTCGGACACTTCCTAGCTGGGTGACCTGGGGCGAGTCACTGAGCCTCTGTTTGCCTCAGTTTCCTCAACTGCAAAATGGACATACTAATAGCACCTGTCTCACCGAGTAGTTGTGAGCATCCTATTAAACAAACATATATACATAAAGCTCTTTGTAGTCCTCAAAGGGCTACGGAAGTATTAGCTAGTTCTCATTCTCTGAGCCTCAGTTTCCAAGATGAGGGGGATGTCCCTGATCATGTCTAAGGCGCCCCCCAACTGCGACAGTGTTTGTTTAGTCTTGGAAAGTACCTCTTCCTACGCGTGAAGGTTATGCTCATCCCAGCCTTGGCCCTTTCTTTGCCCCCAAAGGCACTGCTTTCACAGCCCACCTTCTGTGGGGGCTGCTTACCTGTCCCGGGCCGGCCCATAATGACCTCCTTCTTGGGGGCAGGGTGCCCTGGGTAGCTGCTGGGCACGAGGACAGGCAGCAGGGCGGCAGGTGAGGGGTGGAAGGCGACAGGCTGGAACGGAGAGGAGGCCAATCCAAAAGCCGGCCCAGGTTGAGCCATGGTGGCCGGCCCAGCGGGGGGAACGCTGATAGGGACAGGGGCGGGCAGGGGCGGAGGCGGGCCCGGCTTCCCACTGTTAGCCCCGGGTGGCCCGGGGTGCTCTCTTCCAGCCCTGCTGGGCTGGCCGCTACCACGGGCCTCTCCGCCTGTGGCTACCTCCCCAGGGAACTTGGAAGGCAGCGGGACGTCGGGATTTCGGACAATGACGGGAGAGTCACGCTGCACAGCTGGCACCCGCCGCACCGAGGGGCCGGGGTCTGATGTGAGGCCAGCCGGGGGGGGGCAGCAGCAGCAGCGGGGACGGCTGGCGGGACCGGGGAAAGGGTGCAGCCGGCGACACAGCCCGGAAGCCGGCCGGGGTGGAGGGTGTAGGTGTGTGGGAGACAGAGTCCACTCCAGAGTCCAGGCTGTCACTCTTCTGAAAGTCTGGGCCCCCCCCCACCGCCAGGGCCCCCGAGTCCCCCCGGGTGTGGCAGGAGCTCTGGCTTCCGCCGGCCAGGGCTCATGGGCACGGTGAAGGTCAAGTTGGTCTGGAAGGTAGGCAGGATGCCTGAGGAATGGCGTTCCCGGGGGGCAGGGGGCGGTGGGTGGGGGCCCAGTTCTGGCGGGGTCAACACCCCGGCCTTAGGGGTGCTGGCGCTCAGATGACGGCTCCGGACGGCCGTGCGCTGGATCACAGGCGAGGCGTTGATGGGGCTGAAGTTGGCTGGCCGGAAGCCAAAGAGGGGTGAGGGGGAAGGGGAGGGGGCCGGTGAGAAGGGAGACTGGGTAGAGACAGGTGAGAAGGAAGGCGTTCCCGAGCGGGAACTACCCAGGGACACCAGCATGACAGCGGCCTCGCACTCGTCAAACTCGAAGCGAGACAGGTCGGCAGGCGCCACCAGGCGGGGCCGAGAGTCCCCGCGGGCCGCCACGCTGCTGGCCTCACTGTCCCTCGACGTCTCATCGGCCCAGTCAAACTCCGCACTGCCCTCTCGGGCGGCCTGGCGGCCAGCTCCTCCCGCCCCCGGGCCTGAGCCCGCCTCTGCCAGCCCTTCCATCTCCTTGGTGCGCATAGACAGGTGGCGGGAGCAGTAGCCTCGGCGCTGGGACTCCTTCATGCAGCCATCGCGGGAACACAGGCGCCGCCACTGCTTGCCGTTGAACTTTTTCCGAATGCCGTTGGGTGTGCAGACCACGTCGCCCTTCTTGTACTTCTGCTGGGCAGCCGTGAGGGGCGTCCGGGCCCGAGCCGGCGGGGCTGCCCCCCTCTCCAGGGAGGTCACGCTGCTGCTGCGACTGCCCCCTGCCCCGTCCTGGCCAGGAGAGGGCTGCTCGGCTGGGCGGCCAGGCCCAGCGAAAGCCGGTGACTTGGGGGGGCGGCGAGAGCAGCTGGGGCGGGGGCAGCGGCAGCGGAGGCTGGGCGGCAGAGGAGGCGGCGGCGGCGGCAGAGGCAGGGGGCCGTTTCTCCTCCTCCTCCTCCTCCGTAGCTGCCTGGCCAAAGCTGATCTTGGAGACCTCGGCGTCCTCTGGCTGTTTGGCCTCCAGTCCGGGGGGGCAAGGGGGCATCTGGGGGGGAGGCTGAGGGGGTGGCTGTGGGGGGGGGCTCTCTCTCTGCATCCCCTCGTCTCCTTGTTCCCCTTGGGTGGCTTCCAGAGGCAGCTTCCTTCTTTCTTCGGGGCCCCAGGGAGGGCGCAGGAGACGCAAGCTAGAGCGAGCCACCCAAATGGCTTCCCTGTCCCTGCGGGGAGGGGTAAGTGGGAGCCCTGGTGGAGGCCCGTGGCTGAGGCGCACTTTGTATGAAGCCGGCTTGGCATTGACCTCCACCACCACACCTTCACGATAGGCCGTCTCGCCGGGGTCCACACAAGTACAGACGGCCGTGCCCACCGCTAGGGCCCCGGGGGGCGGGGTGGCATCCAGGACCACATCCACGCCACCAGCCAGCGCTCCCTCATAGTAGGTGAGGGCACGGTCTCCAGGGAACTGGACGCCAAGGTCTTGGCTGCGCCGGACCTGCTTTACCACAGCAGGCATGAAGAGCCCATCCCGCCGCGCTAGGACCTTCTGGGAGCGCAGGAGGCGCAGGTCACAGGCCCCGGCCCCCGTGGAGCCAGGGGGCCAGGGGGCCAGGGGGCCGGGCTCAGGCAGCTCCTCCTCCAGGTCAGCTGAGTGCTCGCTGGCTGTGTCTGTGGAGGAGGAGCGGGCGGAGGCAGGTGGCTGGGCCGGCAAGGCACAGGCCCGGCCCTCCTCAGGGGTGGCTAGGGGCTCCTCCGGCCCGCTACCGCTACCGCCACCAGCACCGTGTTCCTCCACGTACTTCTTTTTGGGGGCCCTCGACTTGAAGGTTGCGGTCTTTCGGCTCAAGGAAGGTTCCCAGCGCCCGTGCTCCCCCTCCCCCTTCGGGTCCTCAGCTGGGGGGAGAGGCTGAGTGGGGTCCTCCGTGGGGCCCGAAGGGGGCAGCTTCAGTGGGGCGGCCTCCACATCCGGGGCCCTCCCTGCCTCCTCTCGTTCACCTTCCTCCTCCTCCGCGGGGGCCGTCTCTCCCTCCTGCTGCTCCTCCTCCTCCTCTTCCCTTCCCCCGTCAGCCACTGCCCGGCGCTTCTGGGCTTTGGCCCTGGTGGCTGGAGGGGACTTGCCGCCGTGGCCAGGAAGGCCACCCGCTTTCTTCATGGGTTTCATCTTTGTCTTCTTCCTCGGCCTGTCTTCGCAGACACCTGCAGGGAGGGAGGAGAGGGGAGGTGAGCTGGGATGCAGGAGGCCAGAGGAGTGGGGCTCTAAGCCCAGGCCTCCCACTCACTACCTGCGTGGCCTTGGGCTCCAAGCCTGGGCTCCAGGGATGGTTTGGTTTCTGCCTTTGTGCAGTGCCTGCTACACAGAAAGGACTTAATAAATGCTTCCTGAGTTCAACCCCTCAATGGGCCCTGCTCCATCCGATAGGAACATCTCTGCCCCCCTGCTTTGGGACGACTGCTTAGGGGGTCACAGTTTCTCAGCCTGGGCAACACTAATTGACAAGGTACCTTAGGGCTTACAGACATTTTCATCTATATTTTGGAACTTGATCCTCACAACAAGCTAATGTTGAATTCACTTGACACACGGGGAAACTGAGGCCTAGACAGGAAAAGATAATTCATTGCCCAAGGTCTCACACAGCCAGTCAGTGATGAGGCCACAAACCCTCCCAGGTTCTAGCCCAAGTCTCTTCCACTAGCTCTCTGGGGTTCTCTGTTCCCAGAGGCAAACACCTTGGCAAGAAAAACGCCACGCTCTCTGCCCAGATGCGTGCAGCCCACCGCCCTTGCCAGATGAGTCAGGGCCTGCTCAGCCACGCTCCCCTCAACCTTGTGCTCTCAGCGGTTCTGCCTGTACCCTCCCCGCCACCTTCCCTCCTTCCCTCCAGCAGGCCCTGGCATGTCTAGGGCAGATGTTCAGAGCCAGCTGTAAGGCACACTGTGCGTGCGTGTACCCCCCAGCCCCATGACATGAGGAAGACTGCACACACCCATCACGGAGACCACAAATCAGATACGTGGACCCCTGACTCCCACCATTCCCTCGGCAGACAGCTCACCATAACAAGGCACTGAAAGATGTCTTAGACCCCACGGCCCTCTACTAATAAGAACTCACATGCATGTGTATACACACACATACACACACACACGCACACACACACACACGTCTATACACACAGACAGAAACACACACACACACACCCCACACCCATTCGGGCCTTCCTGCCTCCAAAGTACAAGCCAGCCCCCCAGGCTCTGCCCCACCCCACTCCCACTCCCACTCCCACTCCCACCCCCCCACACCCCAGGGTCTTAGGTTCCAGGTTAGGAAGGAGATCTGGGCCACGCAGGGAAAGAGAAGAGAAGGAGGCTGAGTCCACACTGGGACAGACAGGCCCAGTGGCCTAACCTCACCCACACTTCCTGAACGTTCACATTGGCCCGCCCCTTTTTGAACTGCCTTTAAAAAAATAAAAATAAAAACTTTAGTCTGAACCGAGAGAAGCAGGCAGAGGCCTAAGTAAGCATCCCAGGAGTTGAGCATGAGGGAGTGTCAGGCCCTGGGGGCTGCCACTGGCTGGCTGGGCCCACATCTCCCAACTGGACTGGCCCAAGCCTTCCTCCACCATGCTTAGGAAGGGAGAAGACCTCCTCTGTTCCTTCCTCTTCACTGCCTGCCATGATTTCAGCCCCGCAGGCTCTCTCTCCTGAGGCTCCCAGGTGAACATCCTCTGGGCAGGGAGTCCCAGCTTTTCCTCCTGGTGTGGGCCCCACCTCCAGCAGCCTCAGAGCTGGGGAGGAAGCACCTGGGGGCAAGGCTTCTGCTCCCCACTTCTTGCCCAGTGAGGCCTCCTTATCCCTGGCATCAGGAGCCTGTGCCACCTGATGCCCTTCTGGGGCGCTGCCTCAGTTTTCAGCCCATCTCCCCTTTATGCCCCGGACCGTCTCTTCCCCAGCTCTGTGTGCACTCCACAGGCACTGAGTCCCTATTCCTTCCCCGACTGCTTGAAAGGTCTTGTCAGCCTCCTCTGCTCTGCCCTTGTCCAGTGCCAGGCCCTCCTCAGGCCCCGGTCGCTAGGTCGTCCTCCTCCATAGGTCATCTACCTCTGGGCACTTCCACCAGCCACAGCCCTTCACAGTGCCTGAAGTCAGCCTGCTGACCTTGGCCTTGACACCAGTCTCTGCTCTCAGTCCTGTATCGCCCCCCCCCAACCCCACTGCCCGCTTCTCTCATCGCCCCCCACCCAGCCTCTTTTGGTCCCTTCCTTCCTGGCTCTTCCTGTCCTTGTTTACTGCCCTTTTCAAGTCCTACCCTGTCACCCCTCTTCCCTTAGGTATCCCAACCTCTCTCCTTCCACCCTTCCTTAGACTTTTATGACCCTACTCGGTCCCCCTCCCAAGTACCCTATTGACCTCCCTGTCATCTAAATTCTCCAATTCTCAAGTCGGCTATCTCTTCCACCTCTTTGTTCTCCTGGGCCCCATCTCTCTGTCCTCTCTTCTTCTTGCCCCCTCCCCACCCCTGGGTGCCCTCCCCCTGCCGCCCCCCCCCCCCCCCTCGGTCCCCTCCCCCTCCCGCCCCCCCCCCACCCCTGGGTGACCTCTCTCTGCAGCAGCCCTCTCCCTACTCCTAGGTCCTCTCTCCCTGCAGTCCCCTCCCCACCCCTGGGTGCCCT